ACACTGAGATGAAAGATACATGTGGAAGACCCGAGATTGCGAGGATGTCTTCAGCGAGTTCGGCTGGACCACTTAACGCAAAATCATCGCCGACCAGGAGTCGCGAGGACAGCCTGGGCCACGCTGGCTGGACCACTTCGGGCCAGACCGCTGGGATGTCTCGGGCCAGAATGTCTCACGCCAGAAAATCCTGGGCCCAAAGCAGTCAGACCGCCCCTTGCGTGTCATTTCTGACGTCCCGTTGCGGGGATGACTCAAGGAAAATGGCGGGATATCTCAGGCGAGCATGGTTGAGTGAAGCCAGAGTTACGAGAATGTCTCTGGCGACGCCGCAGGCGCCACCTCTGTTGTGCCATCTTCGTTTCGAGGATGACTCATGCCGAACTGGTCGTGCGTGCATGCGTGAACGTGTACAGGCGATACCGGCTGGACCACCTCGGGCCGTGGCATTTATGTCTCAAGTTGTTGTGGTTGAACCATTGCAGGCCATGACATGTTTTAACCCAGAGTTTCAAACATGTCCTCGCCAATTTAGCCGGGCCACTTGATGTCAGGGCATATCAGAGCCCAAAGTTGTGAGGATGTGTCGGGCCGAACCGGCCCGATCACCTCAGGCCAGGTGGTCTGTGAGCCCAGAGTTGCGAGGATGTTTCAAGCACAATTGGCATGACCACGTCAGGTCAAGGCATTTGTGGGTTGGGATTTGCGGTGATATGTCAGGCGATATTGGCTGGGCCAATTCAAGCAAGAGCATTTGACATCTCCGAGACCAGAGTTGCGAGGATGTCTCAGGCGACACTCGCTGGATCGAATCAGGCCAGGGCATGTCCGAGCTTAGAGTCGCGAGGATGTTTCAGGGTGGGCCGGCCAGATCCCCTCTGGTCAGGTTATCTGTGAGCTCAGATTTGCGAAGATGTCTTGAGCTTGGCCAGACCTCGTCAAGTTGAGGCACCTCCGAGCCCCGCATACGCAGATGCCTCGTGTGAAAATTGCTGAACCACCACAGGTCAAGTTGCAGGGATACAGGATAGATCAGGTCAAATTAGTTGGGCCACCGCGCGCCAGGGTATCTTCAAGCTCAGTGTTGCGAAGATGTCTCGGACGAAAGAGTTGCGAGAATGCATGGTGCGAAATCGGCCATGCCACCTCAGGTCAGAGCATCTCTGAGCACAAAGACGCCATGATGGCTCTGGCGAAGCTGTCTCGACCATCTCAGGTCAAGGCATCTACAAGCCCAGGGCTGCAACATCCCAGGCTCGACTAGCTGGATTACTTGAGGCAGGGACATTTTTGGACATAGAGTTGCGAGGATATCTCAGGCGAAATTGGCCGGATCAGGGCCGTTGTAAGCCAGGAGTTGCGAGGACGTCTCAGGCGCGAACTTTTCTGGGCCACCTAAGGCCAAAACAATTGCGCCCCCCACAGGCGACACGGGCCGACACCTCAGGCGAGGGCATCCGTGAGGCCAGAGCTGCAAGGATGTCTCAGGCAAACTTTACCATGCCGAGTCGGGTCAGAGCGCCTCCGAGCCCAGGGGCGTAGGTGTCGGCGATGGACCCATGAGCAGTGCGTTCAGGCCCAGCTGCTGGGTCCCCGTTCCCGTGAGGAGAGCGGCCAGCATGTGTGGTGCGTTGGAACCTGGAGCCCCAACGGCTCCCAGAAGTCCGCCCGAGCGAAGCCGCGCTAGTGCTCAAACGAGCGGAAGCCCTCGGGCAGATGACGCGGAAGAGGAAGAGGAGGAGGAGGAGGAGGAGGAGGGCGAGGAGGAGGAGGAGGAGGAGGAGCAGGAGGAGTAGCGATGCGCCGTGTTTCAAAACGAGCCGAGCACGCCCCGGCTGCACGCAGAGCTCGCCGGAGGCGAGGCCGAATAGCGCGCCGCGCCGCGTCGAGGCCCCCATTTGCGATGGGTGCTCCTCGGCCTCGCGAGGGCGGCCAGTCCATGGCTCCAGTGGTCGCGGCGCAGGGCCCGACCCCCTTGGTGCGCGGAGGGCGCGGGGGCCCTGCCTTCGCCCCGCGTCTGGATGGTGCGCCTCGGGAGGCATGGGATCCTTCGCCAGGATGAGATCCTGCTTCTCCTCCTCCTCCTCCTCCTCGTCCTGCTCCTCCTCCTCCTCCTTCTCCTCCTCCTCCTCCTCCTCCGCGTCCTTCTCCTCTTCCTCCTCCTTCTCCTACTCCTCCTTCCTCGCATTTTATGCTGCTCCCGATCCTGGTCCCGATCCTGCTCCTGACGCTCCTCTACTCTTACCGTCTCGACGCAGGAGCAGAGCCTTGGTGTCCCAGGGCCTCCGCGGTTCGACTTCTCGGGGTCGTGGGGCCTGTGGGTCTCGGGCTCTACGGGGTATCGGGGCCTTTCGGCCTCGGTGATTCACGGCGCCAGACTTCTGCGGCTTCGTCGTGCGGCCGTGCAGTCCTACAGTGTGTGGGTTTTCGCGTGCGAAAGTCCTTAGGCCTTGAGGCTTTAGGGTTTTATGCTTATCAATCACCAATCCTGTAATGTGTAAGTTTTCGCGTGCTGAAGTCCTTGGGCCTTGAGGCTTTAGGCTTTATGCTTTCCGACCACCAAAGTATTGAGGTCTTCAGGCCTTCGTGGCCGCGGCCGAAAAAGCGGCGCCGGGCCGAATGGGGGCCTCAGGAGCGTCACCGGGCGTCAGGCCGAATAGAGGCGCCAGGCCGAATAGATGCGTTAGGAGCGTCACCGGGCGTCAGGCCGAATAGAGGCGTCAGGCCGAATAGAGGCTTCAGGCCGAATAGAGGCGTCAGGAGAGTCACCAGGCGTCAGGCTAATGGAGGCGTCGGGCCGAATAGAGGCGTCAGCAGCGTCACCGGGCGTCAGGCTAATAGAGGCGTCAGGCCGAATAAAAGCGTCAGGAGTGTCACCAGGCGTCAGGCCAATAGAGGCGGCAGGCCAAATAGAGGCGTCAGGAGCGTCACTGGGCGTCAGGCCAATAGAGGCGTCAGGCCGAATATAGGCGTCAGGGGCGTCACAGGGCGTCAGGCCATAGAGGCGTCGCAACGGCTCCTTTGACGAATCGAGTCTTCAAATAGCGTCTTCGTCTTCAGGCATTCCGGGGCACCCCCGGAGACTTACCCCTGTGTTTATACATATTGTCATAAGACGTAACATGTGGTTCTTCTCTTCTGCAGAAGGGGTTTTCTAGCGCCAGATGTTTTGCTCCTGCGGCATTCTCTTGCAGGGAGGTTCGCGCTAGCTTCGGATTGCACTAATCCCTCCCCTCCGCTGTTCTCTTACGTGGATTCCTATCGGACTGGGTTCCCCGAGCCATTGCCAAGACATGTCAGAGTGTGTCAGGCTTTTACGGGAACGTTCGCGTAGTGCCGCGATCGATTTCGAAGCGGGAGTTCTCCACCGATGAACACGAAGGCCGTGTTTGTGTCCATCTGAGTCGTGATATCCGTTATATGTCGAGATTGCAGGAATGTGTTTAAACGTGCAGCCGTCCACGGATATGCAGATGCATCTCGCTCTGCCAGGGCCAAGTCAGGGCCTACCTGTTCACGTGTTTGTTGCTGTGTTGCCGGCGGTCGCGAAAGTATATTACATTGCATTGGGTGCACGCGCTTATGAGTTGAAATGCGTGTGCAGTTATACTTTTGTACGACATCGGAATCTGTGTGTTTGCGTCGTGCGTGGGCAAGGTGTTCCATGTGTCTCATCAGCGCTCGTTGCTCGTTGCTGCGTGTGTGAAGACGTAGCTTGGATGTGCCCGCGCGTCCACGCTCCCTGAGGTCAGGACTGCTCTGAATCCTCCAAACACGATGTGTCGTGCGTCCCTCTTCGCGCCAGACGGTTTATCATCTCCACGTGCACGTTATTGGAGGCGTGTGCGCCTTCCATCTGCTCTTGCGTGAGGGAGTCGCAGGGGAGTGGTAATTGGAAAGCGGAGTCGCAGTTTGTTGTTCATGCTTATCCAGTTGCGTTGCCTTGGGCGCATGGTTCCATAGGTAATTACTGTGTCGTACATTCCGTCGTGCCGTTTGCCAATTCTGCATGACATCGTCGGTTGTGCCAAAGCTCATTTCGTGCGAGGTTCTGTCAGCTACCTGGCAACGTCTCTCCGCTCTGACAGCATAAGCGCACAGCTCTTCTCGAGTGTCAATCGGCCATGGCTCGCAAGTTCGTGGGCGTTCGATCGTAGGGACCTTGCGCCGTGCACCATGATCAGAAGTTGTCGAGTGACAACGCCGCGCGAGGCAGACAGATGCAGTGGCCTCCTGGTTGACGGCCCGATGGGTGTACAGCAGCTGGAAACGTACCGCAATTGTCTTCACGTTTGCGGCCCCCCCACTGCCTTCACGTTTGCCCCAACCTTTCTATGGTTGGGTCTTCGTTTTGGCTGGAGAAAGTGTTGCTCCCCCTCGCCTCTTCTGCTCCGCCTCCTCCCGCATCGTCGCTCTTTTCCATTCCCTCTCGTTGTCTCATGCGTCATTTCGTTTATCCTACCCCGTAGTGTTGTTGACTTTCTCCCTGCTTCCGCTCCTCCCTCTCTGTCTCCCTCTCTCTCTCTCTCTCTCCCACCCCTGAGATCCGGCGTAGCGAGCAAATTGCAACATCGTAAAAATTCACGCCCGGAGCCTTAGACCCGATGTTTCTGCGTCATTTTTCCGCGTCCTTTTTCCAGCCGGATCGATCTGTGAGGGTCCCAGGGCCCGAAGGAAGGCGAAAACGCCAGGCTCGAGTCTCTCTCTTGCGTCATTCAGTTCTTTTGTGCTCAATCGTTGTTTTGGTTTATACTGTAGTTTGTTCGCCTCCCGTGGGTGCTGCCAGGTGCGCGCCCTTGTGGGGGAGGCCAATGGAGTGCGCCCTTGTGGGGGAGGCCAATGCAGAGAGAGAGAGAGAGAGAGAAAGACAGAAAACAAGACAGAAAAAGAGAGAGAGAGAGGGAGACGTCGCTCGGGCCGCTCGGGCCCGCCGCGGGCCTCCGATGTCAGCGGCGCCAGACCGTCGTGCTGCGCTGGCGGCGGCCCGCGGGGCCACGCAGGCGGTGCACGCGGCTGCAGGCCTGGCGCGGGGCACAGGGGCCGTGAGGCTGCTGCGCACCGTGGGAAGCATCTGCAGGGCCGCGGTGGCTAAGCTCGAGGCCGAGCTTCGTGCTCCCCCTGCGGCCGAGGAGACCCCGCCTCCAGGGGAGAGCCCACCAGCACCAGATGCTGGCCCCGCAGCTGCGGCGCCGCCTGGCGGCGCGAGCCGCCGCCGCCGCGCGCAGAGGGCCAGACGGGCAGGTGTTGCGGGCGGCCGTGCCGCCGAGGTACCTTCCGAGGTGGAGGCGGAGGAGGAGAGTGACGGGGTGGCGGCCGAGGCGGCGGCGGAGCTGGCGGAGGCGCCTGCACGTGCAGAGGCTGGAGCTGGCGGAGCTGCCGCGGCGGGCAGCGGCGGCGCTGGGGCTGGCGGTGCGCCCATGGGCCTTGAGCTCGTGCGCGTGCCTACGCGGCGGAGCCCACCGGTTTGAACGAGGACGAGGAGATGGCCGAGCTGAACGACGAGTGGGCCGACACGGCCCCTCGCCCAGCCGCCACCCGCGGGCCCTGCTAGCCGCCGCGACGCCATCCTGGCGGCCTTGGCGGTCTCGCCGAGCTTCGCCTGCGACCCAGCCTTGGCGGCGACCTGGGAGTGCCGCGCGGCGGAGGAACTCGAGCGGCTGACCCCTTGGCTCCAAGACGAGCTCGCGGCGCTGGGCCACGCGCCGTGCGCGCCTGGGATGCTGGGCGCCGATGGCGCACCGCCGTCAGGCGAGTGCTCTAGGGAGCAGGCCGCCTCGCGGCGGGCGGGGCGCTGCTGGCCGCGGCGCGGGGCGGCCCCCGCGTGCCTCGGGCGCCGCCTGAGGCGCTCTTTCGCCCTCTCCTGGGACCTCCGCGGCGCCCCCCTGCCACGGAGGCGAGGATGGAGGGCGGCGCGGCTCAGCTTGCGAGCTGGCCGTGCCGTGCGGCGGGCTCGGTGGCCCTCCTGAAGCCAGGCCTGCACCCGTGAGGGCTGCGCGGCCTCGCGCGTGCGTTCGGGCGTCCGCGGTCGGCCCCGACCGACTGCGGCCGCTCCTTGAGGTGCGAGCGAGAGAGAGGGGGAGAGAGAGAGAGAGAGAGAGAGAGAGAGAGAGAGAAAGAAAGAAAGAAAGAGAGAGAGAGAGAGAAATACAGAAAGAGGGAGAGAGAGAGAGAGATAGAGAGAGAGAGAGATAACGATAACTATATATAGAGAAAGAGAGTGGGAGAGAGAGAGAGAGAGAGAAAGAGAGAGAGAGAGAGAGAGACTGAGAGGGAGAGGGATACATATTCAGTCGCTTCGCTCATTCCGCCGGCCCATATTGTCGCACCGTTGTGGGCTAGCCGAGTTTTGGGGCCTCTTGGGGGCCGTTTTGGGGCCTCTTGGGGCCTCTTTTGGGCCTCTCGGGCGCCTCTTGGGGTGTCTTGGGGGCCTCTTGGGGGCCTCTTGGGGCCTTTTTGGGGCCTCCTGGGCGCCTTCTGGGGCGGAGGGCTTGATTTTTCAGTTCTCGGTTCCCCTCTTGAGCCCCTCTTGGGGCCCGTCTTGGGGCCTCTTGGTCCGTTTTGGGCGGCACTTGGGCCGTCTTGGGGGCCCTCCTGGGCCGTTCCGGGGCCGTCTTGGGGGCCTCGTCGGCCGTCTTGGAGCGGTCTTGGGGGCCTCTTGGGCCGTCTTGGAGCGTCCGGAAGCCGAAAAAGCCAGAACGCAAAAAAACATAGAAAAAACAATGGAAATCAACGATTTTGGCCTCTTGGGGCCCTCTTCGGAGGCCTCTTGGAAGGCCCTTGGGGCGTCTTGGAGGCCTCTTGGGCTGTCTTGGGGCCCTGTTGGGCGTCTTCGGGCGATCTTTGGCCGTCTCGGGGCCCTCTTGGACCGTCTTGGAGGCTTCTTGGGGACCTTTTGGCCCGTCCTGGGGCCCTGTAACAGGGCTCCGGCATCTCTGGCCCGACCTTGCCGGAACCTTGCCGGGACCTTGCCGGGGTACTTTTCGTCCGGGGACCCCCAGGGGCCGCCCCGCGCGCGCGAACTAGACATCTGTTAACCAGGTACCGGAGATCTTAGCACGCCCTGGCCCGCTGGGCCGGCGATTTTTTTGTTATATATATATATATAGATATAGCGAGAGAGAGAGAGAGAGAGAGAGAAAGAGAGAGAGAGAGAGCAACATAAAGAGAGAGAGAGAGAGAGGGAGAGAGAGAGAGAGAGAGAGAGTGTGAGAGAGAGAGAGGAAAAGCAACACAACAAAAAAGGGGCGAGAGCGACCTCTTTCGTTGCACGCCCGACCCGTCGGCGGGCGCATTTCGCCGCTCGGTCGGTCGGCATGGCTGCTTGGGGCGCCGCGCTCGGCTCGCGCAGGATGTCTCTGCGCGCGCAGGCGGGCGCCGGTGCAAGCTCAGGGTCCTGCGGGGCGGGGGCCCCTTTGCGGGGGCGGCCGCAGTCTCCCCCCCCCGCATGGGCCGCCGTGGGCGAAGCCCCCCTTCTCGTCCTCCTCCTCCTCCTCCTCCTCCTCCTCCTCTTCCTCCTAGTCCTCTTCCTCCTCCTCCTCCTCTTCCTCCCCCTCTTCCTCCTCCTCCTCCTCCTCCTCCTCCTCCTCTCCTCTCCTCTCCTCCTCCTCCTCCTCCTCCTCCTCCTCCTCCTCCTCCTCCTCCTTCTCCTCCTCCTAATCCTCTTCCTCTCCTCCTCCTCTCCTCCTCCTCCTCCTCCTCCTCCTCTCCTCCTCCTCCTCAGCCTCCTTCCTCTCTCCCCCCTCTCCTCCTCCTCTCCTCCTCCTCCTTCCTCCTCCTCCTCCTTCCTCGTCCTCCTCCTCCTCCTCTTCCTCCTCTCCTCCTCCTCCTCCTCCTCCTCCTTCTCCTCTCCTCCTCTCCTCCTCCCCCTCCCCTTCCTCCCCCTCCCCCTCCCCCCCCCCCGAGGGCGCGACCTCCTGCGGCGCGCCGCCTTCCGTACGTGGGCGCTGCTCGTGCCCTCCCTCTCCTTCTGCTGCCCGTCCTCGCCCCGCTCGCTGCGCGGCTGGCGCGCGCCCGCGCGCCTGCTCTTCTTGTTTCCCGCTGCGCAGCGCGCTCTTGAGGACGACGACGACGACGACGACGACGACGACGACGACGACGACGACGGCAACGACGACGACGACGACGTCGACGTCGACGACGACGACGACGACGATGACGACGACGACGGCGAGCGCTCTCGGGGGCCTCTTGGGGGTAGTCTGGGGGCCTCCTGTGGAGCTCTTGGGGGCCGCTTGGGAGCCTCGTGGGGGCCTCTTGGGGCTTCCTCGGGGTCTCTTGGGGGTCTCTTGGGGCCTCTTGGGGGTCTATTGGGGCCTCTCGGGTGGTTCTTCAGGGCCTGTGGGGGCTCCCTGAGAGCTTCTCAGGCCGGGGGCTCGAAATGTCCGTTCGGGTCCCCCGTCTGGACTCCCTCTTGGGGCCGTCTTGGGGGCCTCCTCGGCTGTCTTGGAAGCCTCTTGGGCGGTTTTGGGGCCCTCTTTTATCGTTGTGGGGCTCTCTTAGAGGCCCATTGTGCCATCTTGGGGCGGTTTTGGGGGCCTCTTGGCTTGTCTTGGAGCGCCGGGAAGCTGACAGGGCGAGAATGCTGAAATCTTCCCAAAAACCAAAGGGAACCTATAATTTGTTTTTGCCCCTTGGGGCCCTGTTGGAAGTCCTCTTGGAGACCTCTTGGGGCGTTTTGGAAACTTTTTGAGCCGTCTGGAGGCTACTTTGGCGACTTGGACCGGTACTTCGGCGATTCGGGGCCCTCGAGGATCGTTTTGGGAACATTTTGGGGCAGTTTTGCCGTGTCCTGCTGCTTTTTTGGGCCGCGTAACCGCCCCCGAGGGGGAATCATATCTGCCCCGGGACCCCTCCCCCGGGACCCCTCGGGACCCTCCCCCCCCGGGACACCGCCCCGGGATTTTCCCCCCACTCGGCGGGGAAAGGGATCAAGAGGGGCTTCCATTCGACTCGAATACGACGTTGCCCAATTTCGTTGTGACTGGCGCGCCCTAGGAAGAGAATCGGATGGAAGTGGGGGGGCGGCGACGGGCTTCGGGAAAGGGGGGGGGGAGCGAGCGGCGAAGGCGACGACGACAACGACCACGACCACGACGACGACGACGACGACGACGACGACGACGACGACGACGACGACGACGACGACGACGAGGAGTCAAACAGAGCAGCCTCTTCTGCGCGCGGGCAGGGTCGGCGGAATGTTCAATTCCAAAACATGCTGCGGTGCTGGATCCTTGTCTTGAAGAGACTGTCCCCGCGTTCCCCTCCTCCTCCTCTCTTCCTCCCCTCCTCCTCGCCCTCCTCTCCCCCTCTCCTCCCCCTCCTCCCTCCTCCCCCTCCTCCCTCCTCCCTCTCCTCCCCCTCCTCCATCTCCTCCCCTCTTCCCTCCCCCCTCCTCCTCTCTCCTCTCCCCCTCTCCTCCCCCTCCTCCCTCCTCCCTGGACTTGACCCCCCAATTCAGCGCCTCGTGGCCCCATAGGGAACTCCACAGAAGCCCCCACTGGGACCGCCCGGATGCGTCCCACAAACCCAGTACAGCGTGTCGTGGTCCCCTCCTCCATCCTCCCTGCGTCTCACCCACCCAGTACAACGCTTAGTGGCTCCATAGGGAGCTCCACCGAAACGCCCAGTGGGACCGCTCGGATGCGTTCCCCGCACACCCATTTTGGCATTTCCACCCACCCGGTACGGCGTTTCGTGGCCCTGTAAGGAGCTCCATTGAAGCTCCCAGTGGAACCGCCCGCGTGCGTCACACACAAACGTACACACACACACACACACCGAATTTGGCATTGTCAGCCACCCTATACAGCTCTTTGTGGCTTCGTAGGGAGTTCCACCGAATCCTGCAGTGGAACCGCCCGCATGCGTCCCACGCGCCGCATTTGGCATTTCAGCCACCCAGTGCAGCGCTTCGTGGCCCCATAGCGAGCTCCACCGAAGCACCCAGTGGGACCGCCCGCATGCGCTCCACACGCCCAATTTGCTATTTTCACATACCCAATACAGCGCTTCTTGGCACCATAGGCAGCTCCACCGAACCCCCCAGTGGGACCGCCCGCATGCGTCCCCCAAACACAATTTGACAGTTTCGCCCACCCAGTGCAGCGCTTCGCGGCCCCATACGGAGCTCCACCGAAACCCTCAGTGGAACGGCCCGCATGCGTCCCACACCCAGTTTCACCCACCCAGTACCTCGCATCGTGGCCACACAGGGAGCTCCACCGAAGCCCCCAGTGGGACCGCCCGCATGCGTCCCACACACCCAGTTTGTTTTTTTATTCACGCATTCAATACATCGCTTCGTGGCAACATAGCGAGCTCCACCGAAGACCCCACTGGGACTGCCCGCGTGCGTCCCCCACACCCAATCGGGACTTGGTTTCACCCACCCAGTGCAGCGCATCGTGGCCCCGTAGGAGCTCCACCGAAGCCCCCAGTGGGACCGCCCGCATGCGTCCACACATACACCGAATTCGGCGTTTTCAGCTACCCACTACAGTTGTTAGTGGCCCCGCAGGGAGCTTCGCCGACGGCCCCAGTGTTACCGCCCGCATACGTTCCCGCCCCCTTGCAACGTTTCGTGGCCCCGCAGGGAGCTTCAGCGAAGAAGATATTCACCAGCGCGGTACCCCCAACTGCATATGGTTGGGTCCTTCGCCAGGATATTTTGTCGTCCAACCATCCTGTGGTGGTGGGCTCTCGTTTTTGAAGAGACGGTCTCCGCGTTCCTCCTCTTTCTTTCCTTCCTCCTCCTTCCCCTTTTCCCTCCGCCCACCCAGTACAGCGCTGCGTGGCACCATCGGGAGCTCCACCGAACCCCCCACTGGGACCGCCCGCATG